TAATTCTAATTCTCTCTTCTATGATCCTCTCTTCTGTTTTTTCCTAATATTGTAATTGCTTTTCAAACTGTTATTTTTTGTTGTTTTTTCAAATCTTACATTTTTCACTCTTTCCCCCCTTTCCTTCCCCCCCCCACATAGGATTACTTGATAATTAAAGATGGCTTCTTCTTTGTCCCACCCTTCTTGTTCTTCAAGCATTTCTTGTTGTTTCTCATTGTTCAAGATCTCCATTTCTAAAAATTGAAATACGAAGCCGAAAAAACCTCTTCCTTCTTGTGCATCTTCTTTCTGTTTTTTAAGTTCCATTTTCAGTTCTTCCAAGAGTGATGCCATTTTAAACACTTTTAAACAACCACCCAATTGATTTTAGTCATTTAAATCTAATAACAAAAAATCCAAAAATCACCAAGTAATCCAAATAATCCAAGGCTGTTTCTTGTTTCTTTTTTCCACTTTCTCTTCCTGGGGTTCTATTATCTTGTTACAAAGTTTCAGTTAGAATGTATTTTTTAGGAATCTTGTTAAGGTTTCACTGTTAATTGCTTTTACTTCCAGGTGGTCTCCTCCATTTTTCCAGATTCCACCCTTTTGTTTTTTCCTTTTCTCTCCTTTCCTTCTTTTAAAAGTTTTTAAATATCCAATAAATCTTTATTATCCCTTTGACATTTTATTTTCAGCTTGAAGGCCTATTAATGTCAAAGTGATTTTTTTTCAATTATTTACTTAAGTCTCTTAACTATCAGTATGGGGAAGAAAAGAAAAAAAAACCAAATCTTTTTCCTTCTCTCTCTCCTTCACCACTTCAGAAATCTTCTTTGGGAACAATGTTATTCTTTATAGTTCAGATACCAGGGTACCTTATGTTGTTGCTTTTTCAGTTCAACCTGGTCAGTCAAAGCTTTCTTGTCTTATCTTCCTCCTGCACAATCTTTTCCGGTCGGGTTCTTCTTTGAGGTGGCCATTTCTGATCACCGCTGCAACCGCCTTTGGGAAAGGGAGTAATGGCCGGTTGGGGAGGAGAGATGTGGCTCTCTTCGACCCTGCTGGCAGTCTTCCCCCCTCTTCACCACCTCTATGGGGTGGCTTTGCCCCGAATCCAGCCAAAGAAGCCCAAACCGGAAGTCGGGATGGGAATAATTTTGTGCTTTGGAAGATACTTGATTATTATATGTATGATTGGTGACAGGCGATTAAAAGATTTAGGATTTGCTCTATTGTATTATTATATTAATTTCTACATTCAGAATATATTTTATTACAATACTTGCTCATTCTGCATGGTGTTATCTCTCTCCCCCTCCCCCCTCTCTCTAACCATTCAGCTATTTTTCTATTTCTATCTTTCTAGCTTATCTATCTATCTATCTATCTATTTACAGATCTTTTTCTGTAATGTGATTCTGTTGATGGATCTTTTATAGGGTCCACAGAATAGAAAACTAAAGACTTCCGGTTTGCAGGGCTTTGGCGGCAGGCAGGAATCTGCGATCGTGTGCGGTTTCTGCCTGGGCTCGCCGCTGGAGCACCCCAAGCCAGCTGGCTTCGGGGCTAAGCCACCCCGTAGAGGTGGTGAAGAGGGGGGAGATCGCCAGCAGGGTTGAGGAGAGCCGCATCTCTCCTCCTCAGCTGGTCAAACTCCCTTTCCCGAAGGCGGTAGGAGCGGTGGTCAGAAATGGCCACCTCAAAGAAGCACTCAACCAGAAAAGAAAGTGCAGGAGGAAGATAAGAAGTGAAAGTTTTGGCTGACCAGGATAAAAAGCAACAACTAAGGTACCCTGGAATTTAAATTTTATAAAAGATAACATCGCTCCCAAAGAAGAGTCGGAAGCAGCGAAAGAAAGTGAAACGGGAAATTTTTTTTTTCTTCTCTCTCCTTCCTCACATTGACAATGAAGAGAGCTGAATAAGAAATCGGAAAAATCCACTTTGGCTCCAATAATTAAGCTGAAAATATAATTAAATGCCAAAGGGACAATAAAGATTTCTGGACACTAAAAAATCCTTTTTGTTTATAAGTAGGAAGGGAGAGGAAAAGAATAAAGGCAGGATCTGGGAGGAGGAGACTGCCTGGACTTTAAAATAATTTAAAGTTAAATCTCAATAAGACTTCTAAAAGATACATTTTAATTGGAACTTTGTAACTAAATAGTAACCCCAGGAAGAGAAAGTGAAAAAAGAAGAAAGTGTAAAAAGAAATAGCTTGTGTGTATTTGGATTGCTTGGTGACTTTGGGATTTTTGGATATTATATTTGAATGACTAAAAACAATTGGGTGGTTGTTTAAAAAATTCTACAATGGCATTATCTCTGGATGAACTGAAAATGGAATTTAAAAAATATAAAGAAGAGACACAAGAAGGGAAGGGCTCCTTTGGCTCCGTTTTTCAATTCTTATAAATGGTGATTCGTAACTACGAGAAACAACAAGAAAAGACTGCGCAACAAGAAGATTGGGACAAAGAAGAAGCCATCTTTAATGCTATTTGGGGAAGAAAGAGGAAAGGGGGGAAAGAGAATGGAGAATTTAAGACTTAAAAAAACAACCAAAAAAGGGAAAAATAATTTGAAAAGTGGATGTAATGTTGGAAAGCAACAGAAAAGGGGAATACAGAAGAGGGAAATGGAGGTGGAGAGACAGGGGGGTAAAAAGGAGAGAGAGAAGAAGAAAGGGAAGAAGGAAAGGAAGAGAAGTTACAAACGTTTGGAGCAATATGTAAAGAAACAGGACTTTTTCAGAGATAATGGGTGAAAATCTAACTGAAAAGGGGATTCTGTGAAGGTACATAAGATGGTATTGTTATATTTGTAATAGAAATAATGTTAGAAAATTGGAAACAACATATGATTAAAAAGAGGGATAAAATAGTCAGTGTAATTTAGTGAAACTTTTGTGAACAAAATAAATGAAATAAAATAAATGAGAGAATTGAATTCGGAAGGAATGGGAACATTTTAATTACTCAATGTTTTATAAAATATAAGTAAAGTGTGTGGGGGAATTAACTATGGAAAGTTTATAAGTGTTCCCATAGAAATATGATATTTATCTGAAAAGTAATGTGTAAAATGTTAAGATTTAAATGAATATCAATATTAATGATAGAATTGAATTGGCATGGATTGTTGTTCTAATTATATTATACATTTATAATTTTTTCTTTTTTTAAAAATACAGTGTGTAGTTTTAGAAAGTACCAAGCAGAATCTGAACGGAAGTTATGTATTATATTAAGTGTTATAATTTTAGGGGAAAGATATAAAGGCGTCATACTCCAATCAGTGATTACAGGAGAAATTTTATTTAATGAGAAAAGATAGTAGACAGTTGAAACAGGACAGACAAAGAATATAAGTATAATGATTTGAATTGAGATGAAATAAATAAATAAAATTAAGAAAGTTAAAAGAGGGGAGAAGCTATATCGAAAATGTAGAATAGTAACAAGATATGGAATGGAATATAAAAATGAGCATGAACTTGAATTTGTGTCTGTACGAAGGGATGTAACCCGGGATTATGTTGCTTTCAAAAAAGATGTTTTATGTTTTTATGTTTTATGTTTTGTTCATTTATGTTTGTTTTCAAAAATCAATAAAAAATTTTTTTTAAAAAAGAATAGAAAACTAAAGAAAACCCTCTATAAAAATTACCTGTGGAATTTTTTAAAAAAATGATAAGCACTGTCAGTGTCTGGATGGGGAAGAGCAGATTTTGAATTATTCCAAAGACAGTATATTTGATTTTGTGGCCCTAACAGATCCAACTTTGAAATGGTTGTACTTCTCCTGTTAGAGGAAGTTCAACAGGACCTCAAAGTTCACAACTTTGAGGTCCTCTTGAACTCACAACTATTGTTTGATCAGCATGTGGCAGCTGCCACCTGGAGGGTGTTCATACAGTTATATCTTGAGTTTCTATTTTGGCCCATTTCTCAGTTAGGAGGCCTGGCTTTCAGTCAGTTGTGACTTATTTGCCTTCTGCATGGGCCTGCATTTTGAAAAATGCAACTGGATAGGGATAGATACATAGTTGGGTGTATTGGTTGCCAGTTGGCTTCTAGGTGTGATTCCAGGTTTCCTTGAAAGGCCTTTTTGGTTCCAGATCATGTTATCACTGTCACTCTGATCAGTTTGAATAGGGACATTCATAGATCCATTCTATAAGACATGGTTGCATGACCAGACCTTGGAAGCAAAGTTTTGGGTCACTGCTTTCATCCTTGGGAATTTCTTCCCCATAGAGATCCACTCTGCTGCTTTTCTCTTAGATTTCAGGGGAACAGTTAAAGTCCAGTTATTCCATCTAGTTCAGAAGGAAGGCAGAAATCTGGTGGATTCATATGTTTGCATATTTTACTGCTTTGATGTTGAGCTATTTATTTATATTATGATTGGGTTTATTTATTTATTTTCCTTATTGTGTGTATCTTAACTGTTAGCTGCCCAGAGTCTCTGTGGATGACTTCATATAAGTAACTAAAGTTAAATGCTTTATGCAACTTGTAGTTTTCTCTACAAGTTTCTACAACTTGTAGGCGTACATTCAGAAATTGCACTCTTATAGTGAATAATTACATTTAAACTTTCTTTTAAGAGTTGCTTTTCATATTTGTGGAATTCTTCTCTACACATGCTAATAGGCAATTTTACCTTTCTTGTTTAGAGTTACAACCAATATTGGAGGTGGGGTGGTAAAGAGAGAGAAAGAGAGAGAGGGAAAGAGATGTAATGTCATATTTTTCAGTGAGGCATATGCTGCTGTGTGGCATTGTGTCTTTTGTCTATGGGCATCACTGCATGTCATGTATTCTAGACCAAGAATAAGCACTTGACTTTTCTATACACATATGCACATAAGGATTCTTTTGCACATGCAAAAATATCTTGCTGATTAGGACAATTGTCAGGTTTTTCTATACCCCTCAAGCATAATGCAGTTGTTGTTTTTTCTCCTTAAACTGAACTACATAGTTTATCTCTCTGTCTCTTCACTTCAGGTGACCGATATGATGCTTCAGGACAAGCCTTACCCTGACTGGGGAAAATCTGCCAGGGCTTTTTGGAAAAGGGGGAACATTAGGATCATTTTATTCTGGTAGGAAAAATCACACTTTACATTAAAAACATTGATATTCTAAATTTCTTGTAAGCCATCATGAAGGGATTGTTTCCTAAAAAAAATTACAATTTAACCTTCTCCATTAAAATAAAATACCAAACTGTTCTGTCAAAAGGAAAGGTCAGGGCTCGCTTTCCAGCAGGGAGATCGCCTGGCAGAGAAAAGAAAAAACAAATGCAGTCACAAATAATGGAATATGTTGATACTAGTTTGAAATCCCTGAGTTTTGTAAAATCCTGGATGGTCTGTAGGTGAGTTGCTGTTCCTATATGGCAGATTGCTAAGATGTCTTTGACTGACTTGCTTCCCTGTAGATAAAAGTTAGTCTTATTCAGTACCTCTTTAACTAAGTATTCCCACACATTTTCCTTTTCAGGAAATAAGTTTCTACAAAACTCTCAGTTACGTATTTCACCAGATAAATTGAATGGAATGTCAAAACAGTCTCCTGCTCTCTCCCCCGCCCCCAATTATCTTCATTGCAAAATAGAATCTTTAGTGCCCACTTGTCAGTCTCTGGGTCCTCTTGTAGTCACTCTTCTGCGTGGAGGCTGATTCTGTGCTGTGACTGAAGACTGCTGGTTTGATGTGTATCCAATGTATCCAGGCATTTCTTTCTGCTGCCTTTACAGCAGTGTGGGTTGTGAGGAAGATCTGGAAGGGTCCATTCCACTTGGGTAGTAGTGGTGATTTCCTGGTGAAGGACTTGATCCAGAGCCAGTCTCCAGGCTCAAGGGGGTGAAGGTTTTCTTCCAGTGGCAGGGTCTGGGTCATGGCACTCTGTCTCCAAAGTCTGTGGAGTTGTTAATGCAAGGCTAAAAGATATGATAAAATCACACACACACCCTTTCTAAACTAAGGGAGTGAGAGTCTAAGCCAGGGCTGTCCAACCTTGGCAACTTTAAGACTTGTGGACTTCAACTCCCAGAATTCCTCAGCCAGCAAAGCTGTGTGGTGGTGTCTGGTGGCCGGCCAAACAGTAATTCAAACAGACAAATGCCTAAGTCTTTTCAGGATCGAGTCCTAAGGTGAAATAGGCAGTATTTGAGGCCATAGTAGATGGGTTTCCTGACAGTTTTCCTAGGAGGGTCTTGAGTCCTTTGTTCTCCCCGTCAACCTCCCCAGACGAGCAAAGGTGTGAAGGAGTGTGAAGATTCTGGCCAGCCCTCAAGGCCTGCAAGACATGAGTGGCGATTGAGACACAAAATGTATAGCTCTGTCCATGTCCACGATGCTTGGTACTCCAACCTGGGGACTATGTTTTTTAACAGGTGCCTTGCTGTCTCAAGGGAAGTGGCATGGGGAAGGCCTCTATCCAGTGGGTGAATTGATCACTACATACTAGAACAAGCCATTGGCTCAAGGCAGTTGAATATAGTCTAACTGTAGTTTCTCAAAGGGGCATTGTGCCCATGGCCTCCGTCCCACATGTATCACCCTTTTGGATGAGGCAATATTGGCCTGACAGGTCTGGCAACATTTCGCTATCTGTGCAGCCTCACTGTATACCCCTGGCACAAGTTAAAGAAACAATGATAACATGGGCAATTTTTTTTGGTTATGCTATAGAATTAGATAGATGGCAGGAGTTATGGGACAGGAATTATAAATTGACAATATTTACAGCATATGAAGAAAATTTGTATAAGATGTTTTACAGATGGCACCTAGCACCAGCAAAACTAGCGAAGATGTTCAAAGATAAATCAACTAAATGTTGGAAGTGTCACCAAACACCACGAACATATTACCATATGTGTTGGACTTGTGTAGAAGCTAAAAGATATTGGACTAAAATACACACATGGTTGGAAAAAATGATTAAACAACATATAGATTTGAATCCTGAAATATTTTTATTAGGAATAGTACTTGAAGGTTATAGTAAAGAAAAAACATACTGAATTATACATGTTTTAACAGCAGCTAGAATTGCTCAAAATTGGAAAAGTGATAAGATACTGAATGAATAGATTAACATTAGAAATTAAAGAAAAAGAAGAAACTGAGTATTACATGGTATGGGACTTGTTTTTAAAAAGTGAAAGGGTGATTGATCTTTAAGAATAATGAGTATCGGGCATAACTGGAAATACAAAAGAACGCTTTCAGTACTTTGTCGTTCTATGTTCACTCACAGAAAAAAGAAGAAGGAATTGAGGGTTAAAAAATGCCTGGGAACAGTATGAGAACTCCAATTGGAAACCGTGGCAAATATTGATTTGCTTACTTGCTATTTATGCATCTGCCTACGCATTTATCTTTCCTAAAATAACACATGTGCATAGACATCCAGAATTATTGTTTGTGTTTCCACTGTCTGAAATATTTCTAAAGCATATTTAGAAGAGAGATTCACAGCTAATGTGCAAGGAGAGCCTAAAGCAAGCAATTTAGTGGTGGTAATTCAAACTATATGAATTGCCTTCCTAAATAATTGTGGGTTTCATTTGTTAATATATATCTTACTGTGAGTAGTTGCTGTTTAATGAATATGTTTACAGTTCACTAATATTGTGGGAGAAATATAACTACAACTTAAGCTTTTATATCAGCTATTTAAGATTTGAGCTGGTTAAGGCTAGGACAGTATTTTCATAGTCTGCCAATTCCAGTTGTGAGTAAGAACAAAGGCAGCAGTCAGAAATTGAGTAGAAGAGGAGAGAGAGAGAGAGAGAGAGAGAGAGAATGCACATACACATACTTCAGAGCATATCAATGAACACCCCCCCAATTATCCATCTGCATATTTTCACAAGCAAGCAAAGGGACCTCATTGTTTTAAATGTTTGCAGCCCAAACATGGAAGAACTCTATCAAATCTGTGACATTTTAAAGAACTTGACAGTACTTAAGAAAGGACCTTCTCTGAATACAAGAAGTTGGTTGACCCATTCACATACATACCAGTGTTAGGATTCAAATTTCTTTACTACTGGTTCTGTGGGCGTGACTTGGTGGGCGTGGCAGGGCTTGGTGGGCGTGGCAGGGGAAGGATACTGTAAAATCTCCATTCCCACCGCACTCCATGGGAAGGATACTGCAAAATCTCATTCCCTCCCCACTTCTGGGGGAAGGTTACTTCAAAATCTCCATTCCCTCCCCACTTCTGGGGGAAGGTTACTTCAAAATCTCCATTCCCTCCCCACCCCACTAACCTGCTTTCCAGCTCTGTTCTCCTGTGCAGGACAACAAAAGAAGACCTAGTCAATCAGCTAGGACTCAAGAGACAGAGAATAGATGGGGGCAGGGCCAGTCAGAGATGGTATTTGCTGGTTCTTTGAACTACTCAAAATGATAGGGTTGTAGCCCAGCACATATAAAACAAATCTAATTGTAGAAGATTGATTTACAAGAATATTCATGCAATGGTATTTTAAGTTTAACAAAGAAAATGATGTTGTATTTTCAAATTGTTTTGGAGATAACTAGTAATTAGTAATCCTAATTGAATTTTGATTTTTTTTCTTTTTAGGACAGTTTTATTTACTTTGACCTCAGTGGTTGTGCTGATCATCACAACAGACTGGATAAGCTGGGACAAGTTGAATCGTGGATTTCTGCCAAGTGATGAGGTTTCAAGAGCTTTCCTGGCTTCCTTCATCTTAGTTTTTGACCTTCTTATTGTCATGCAGGTGTGTTATTCCAGTATTCCTTCCACAGAGTGCTTAAGTGGCCAGAAATCATCTTATTCTGATGTATTCTTTTTATGTAAACTCTTATAGATTTTACAAATGGAGGCGTTCTACTCAAAATGGCACGGAGAAAAATCGAAATAGGATAAACATATGAGAAGGTTTTCCTTGAAAAACCTTCCTTGTGAATTTGAAATAAATATTTTAGCAAAGTAAGGTTGTTTCACATGTATCACATTAAAAATTAACTTGTATTGGTAGGCAGTTTCATTCTCTTTACACCAAGCACTCCTTCATTTATAATCAGTTTCTTTTTACCAACTACTGTTTCCAAGGAGATGGATTCTTAAAGATGATCTCATTTTTGCTTTTTTGAGACTTAATGCTAAAACAAGAGTACATAATCCTGCACAAAATTGTCCTGATAAAAAAGAAGCCTCCTTGATAGCTCTTTTCTACTATTTGATTTTTTTCTTTTGTTACAAATGAATCAAAAGGTCTATCTAATGAGGGTTTATTTATTTTTAATAGTTCTAATTTCTTTTGTTTCTGGCTACATTTCCAAGTTTGGTTTAGTTTCATGGTAATCTTTTAATAGCTGTTAAATGTCATGAAACTGTTAACAGTTACATTTTTCAGGGAAACACTAAATGTTTCAACCATTTTGCATGCAAATTAACATAGCAACATGTAGTCTTTCATTGACTTAATTCCTATATTATTATTGATATAGTTTTGCTTTCCAAGCTGAAGCCTTACTTTACAAAATATGGGCTCAATCCATCAGTTTTAATGTCCTTTTTGTTAAAATAGTCAGATTACATCAAAACTTAAACATCTTTTGTACAAATGCAGACAAAATTTTAGTTTTGAACTGTGTCAACATTGTACTCCTAATTGCACAATATTATATACTGATGTAGGAGATTGTGCTTACTGGTCTTTGAAAACTGAGCCAAAAAAAATTAAAAGGAAGGCAAATAGTTGCAACAGTAATAGGAACTCTCATATAATTATAACTCCAAGATTTTGCAATTTCATAAAAATCTTAGTTCCTTAGAGCAATACTGACTTAAGCTACCAGTTCTGCTTCTTCCCAAATTATTTCTGGTTTGATTCTTTACCATATGGATGAACCTCTTGTTCTTTATTGTTAGGTGGACGTCGTCTCTATGGTCTGAAGGGAAAAGGAGTTGTCACTATCTTCTTTGACTAATTCCTGATCTGTCTTCCCTAAAGAGAGTTTGTCCTCAGTAGATGTTGCCACCTGATTGTCATTTTCTGTCTTTTGGAAGACTGTGCACCTTAAATGACCTCTGTCACTGCCATAGGCAAGATTTTCACTAAAGGTGCCTGTGAAGGGACAAGGCAAATGGGTGACATGCAGTGGTTCCTTTAAGAGGAATTGGTTGTGGCTTGGCTGGAAAATAGAAGGAGTCTATTCTCTCATGTGCTTGTCAGCATGCTGTTAACAGAGGTTGGTTTGTGCACGCTTCCTAAACAGACATCTCCCTTAATGACCCATCCTAGGTAATTTCTGAATGTATGGAGTACTGTGGCGACCATTGATCTGAGCTCTTGCCTTGTGGACTTGTAAAATATCTCTCCCTAGGAGCAAGTTTGAGCTTGAGGATTGAGCTCTGGTATCAGATGTGCTACGTGGTTCAAATATGGGTGATGAATCATTGCATCTGGCATAGGGATTTCAGATCTATGGTCAGGAATCTGGTTGCATTCAATAAGAGTTGGTAAAGTCAGACATGTTTTCCCATCTACTGACTCGACTTGGTAACCAGATGCTCTTCTCCCCACATCTCCACAATTTCTGCACAAGTTTTTTTAAGGAATGTGGAGTGCTAGGCCCTTTAATGTCAAATTCATCAAAGAAGGCTGAGCTGGCTAAAGACCTGTTTCTTTGTTCATCTAGAATAGCATAAAACTTAATGGCTTTGTCTCTTTGGCCTGCTGGGTAGACTCTGACTAAACAGACTTTGGAGCAGGAAAGGACTTGCCGTCTGCAATCTTACCAAACCAGGCAAGTTGGATGGCTCGCATGCCAGGCAAGGAGTGAGAGGACAGGGAGGGGAGGGGCCAGCCAGTGGAGCGATTTGCCGGTTTCCGAACTGGGGGCAATCGTGTGTGCAGTGTTTGCAAGAAATCATCAGCTGTGCCGCCTGGACAGCTGACAAGCGCTGTGCTCAGGTACGCGGCATTTG